AAGGCCGTAGCCGCATTCCCATCCATGAGGTGTCGCCCTTGGGTCAGGTCAAGTTAGGCTGTAAGAAATGATTACTCGCACAACACAACACATGGAGGACCCGCTGATCTGCAAGGGAAAGACATGCGACATGCAAATAGGCCAGCGCTAGGCCACCTCCGTGCCCACCCGCTGGAAGGGGAGGAGGGCGGAGGGGCGAGAAGGCGATAGACAAGGAAGGAGCGCCAGCGCACATGAGAGAGAAAGAAGGGACAAAGAAGGAGCAAGCGGAGCCCCACCCCACCCACGCCTGGCCCACCGCACACGGGCGAGGGGAGGGGGAGGGGGGTGCGAGGACCAGGCCTGCTCGCCGGACTAGGCCTAGAGCTGTAAATGAGCGTGAAAAAAACACAAAACAACACCGGGCCCCGACGCCGATGCTGCCTGCTGCCGGGTGGCGACCCTCGTTGCCATGGCAACAGAGACGTGCGTGGTCCGCATCGCCACGGACCGGGAGGGAACACCACGCTACTACAAACGCTGTACAAACGCAAGGAGACCAATCAGCCCTGACGCCCTTATTAGGCTACTCGCACACCACACAGACGCGGCCCACGGAGACACTACCCCAGTGCCTGTAAGCCTGGCCCTAGCCAATGCCGCGCGGAGGGACCCAACCTGCAAGGAGATGCACTCGATGCACTCTCACCTGGTGCCGCACAACACTCATGCCTCCGCCACTGAACATCCGTACTGCCCTTGTACACGTCGTACGTCACCAATCCGAGCGCCTCGCCGATCCGGCCTCCTCGCACGAACTCGCAGGGCCCGGGTGGCGTGGCTGTCGCCTGGCCCCCCACCCCCGCTCCAGCCAGCAGCTGCAGGGTCCTTGCGTAGGGACGCCGGGACGCCACCAGGAAGCACACAAAGACATTGCCAGTCTTTCGTTGATTACTCGGACACTGATGCACTGAATCACTTGACACTCGCACAGCACACGCACTACTGCAAACCACATCGCCTCGTACCAAACTCAAACTTGAACTCCCACTTTATACCACCCCTCGCGGCCCTCGAATGCGGAGCTCCCCAAAACACAGCCGCTCGGCAGCATGGCCGCCGCCGGTCCTTCGCGGAAGCAGAGAAGGGAGCGAATCATCTCAAGTGGTCGATCCCAAGCTTTCCACGGCCAGATACAGACGGAAAGATGCAGAGAGAGATCAGCTACACTGATTGATAGCGACTGCTGCATCTTAGGCATGCCTCTCTCTCCTCTACTGCTACTCACTCTAAACATCCTACAAGGCTTCAAGCGCGGTTTCAAAGAGAAGGGGAGGGTAGGGGGCGACAAAGGCACATTTGGCCTCAAGAAAGCATCCTGAAAAGTAGGCAAAACGGGACACTTTTCACCAGTGCTACTTTGCCCCATCTTCCCCTCAGGCCGGCTCTGTCTCCGCCTCTGCTAGTACTCTGGGTCCACCAATCCAAGGGGTCCACAACCGGTGAAAATCGGTGTACGCGGGTAAGAAAGTCATTGAAAAAGTCATTAAAAGTCTAAAAAGTCAAAAAGTCTAAAAAGTCAAAAAGTCTAAAAAGTCAAAAAGTCTAAAAAGGTCAAAAAGTCTAAAAAGTCAAAAAGTCTAAAAAGTCAAAAAGTCTAAAAAGTCAAAAAGTCTAAAAAGTCAAAAAGTCTAAAAAGTCAAAAAGTCTAAAAAGTCAAAAAGTCTAAGAAGTTAAAAAGTAACAAAAAAAAACACATTCAAGTCGCAAAAAGGTCACGAAATAGCCTTTGAAAAGGCGAAAAGTCAGTGAACGCTGGTGGGAAAGTAATTTAAGACAAAAAAGTCATTTAAAGGTCAAAAAGTCATTAAATAGTCAAAAAGTCATTGAAAAATCTACAAATCTAAAAAGTTCCAAGGCAAAACAGTCTCAAAAAGTCAAAAAAGATAACCGAAAAAGTCACAAAAAAGTCAAAAAATAATCAAAAAGTCACAAAAAGTCACTTTTGACTTAAGGTTGGGGCACGCTCGTCGGCTCGGTTGGGGACCCCTTGCACCAATCTCTAGTGCTGCGGTCTTCCCTCTGGATACCCCTCCCCCTCCCCTTTCCTCCCCCAGGGAACATGGAACCCGGTGCCTGCCCGAAGAACGAGACGCTTGGCGCACCCCAATCAGCACACCACGACTATTTGATGGCTCACTGCACTGCCAAAAAGCGATCATTGTTTTGGCACTGTGCTTATGCGGCTTGCGTGCCGCGGGGCGCGGCGAGCGCGCGTCCATCTCAAGCTACTGATACTGTAACGCAGCACGTCTCGCTCTATCTCTCTCTCTCTCTGTCTGTCCCGGCCCCACCGCCGCACGGCCCGGCGCGGAGAGCAAGAGCGAGAGAGATAGAGGAACACGCGGCCGGCGCGCGACTCGGCCCGGCCCGACCTTCAATCACATTCGTTGAGACGGTCCGCTCCACTGCCGTCCGCGCCAACATTGCCCACTTCCCAGACCAGCCCGGACCGGACCCTGCAGACTGAGAGTCGTTTTCGTCGCTCTGTCTCTCTCGCACTCGTGGGGCGTTCCGTGGAGGTGCGAGTGCGAGAGACAGAGAGATGTCAACGACAGTCTGCAGCTGTGGTCCTCGAAAGCAAAGGGCCCGTGCAATTGCTGCAGCAGCCTTGAGTCCTGGAGCCAGTCCAGTGTGCTGGACCGGACCTGCTTCCGAGGGGTCGTTCTCTGGCTCTGACTCTGTCGCACTCATGGAGCCTTGCGAATGCTGTAAAAGGGGTGCGGGCGGGTGCGAGAGAGACAGAGCTGCGAAGCGGCACTCTTCGCAACCGCTGCTGGACCGCTGGGCCGCTGGACCGAGTCCAGGCCAGGACTCCAGGACCAGCCCCAGCCGTCCTGCAGCACGGCGGCATGGCGCCAGCCGGCAAATGTCAACAACTCAATCAGAGCAGCAGTACCAGCCACGCCAACGGGGCGTTTTTTTTTTTTTAAATTCCAGCCGAGCACGCTGTTACCGTTGGCATGACATTCCATGACACTGTGACCTTGTGAAGGGTAAAGTAATCCCAATGGTAGGGCCCACTATTGGGTGGGCATTGGTTTTCACCCCACAGCGACACATTCAGTGATAGCTGCTGTGCACGACTGACAGAAAATTGCTCTCCATTTAAACCCCAATTTCCATATTTGTATCATAGTAATGACAGCGTCTACATTTCAAAATAATGACCATTTCTAGACTTCGCTTTCCCACGTAGACCATGCTCAAAATTAAAGTAACATTTTGCATTTCAATAGTTAAATACTCCTACCTAACAAACAAGAAATTTGCTAAAGCCAAGGGAATAGTAAATGCAACAATATTTGACATAGAAGGAGCATCTTAAGCTTAGCAGAACAACAACATATCCAGAGATGGAAAATGCTGCAATAATGAGAGATACCGCAATTGGATTCAATACAGGGGACAGGGGTGTCGCCCTAAACTTTTTAACTACCTTCATGGACTTTTCATTTATATAATGATGCAGAAAATGAGGCCTGTTACATGTAGGCCTTTTAAACACAAATAACCTTGAAGGTTATGTATGTCAAATAAATAAAACACACCATTCTGGGTAAACGACATTGTTGGTCCGAACAACAGAACAAACGACAGCAAAAAGCTTCACTTAGAGTCAATGGCACATTGCACACTGCTATCATTTCTCTCAGAACTCTCATTTTATTTTTGGAGGGTCAATGCTTCCAGAACATACAATGTAACTGATCCACATTTTCCTCTATTTTGCCAACTGCTGAAGTGCTCATGAGCCGTCAGACCCCGAGCTAGAGAGTAAACTTCAGTCAAAATCGCTGGCAGAAAGAAATGCAGTCTAATATCAGAGACTGCTGCATTTCGTTGCACTTGCACCTCCCCACCCTGTCCGTCTCCCATTCGGAACAACAAAATACCCTCCGGATGAGACTAACCTTCGTCTTTCCTTGCGAGGTTTTGAAGATTTCTTCGCTTGCATGATGGATGTGGAAATCACAAAACACTGGCAAAGTTCAAGTCCACCATAAACACACACAGGATAACCGCGAAATGGTTCAAACAAAGTTGATCAACACCAAACACACGGTTGTACACAACTTTCCATTTTGCAGCTTGCAGCTGACGTCTTTCACTGAGCACTAGATCTTTAGTTATGCAAGCAGCCGTGTTCCTCCATGCCCGATCTCAGTGGCCGTGGTCTGGAGATGAGAAACTGCTGTCCTGTCCTCAACTTACGCAACGATTTCTCATACACCTTTTTCTAAACAGTTTTCGGCTGGTCCCTTGGCATTTAGTATTTCTAAATTTTTCCAGTCCAGTTGATATTGAACTCTTCCTTCCATTTAAAAACGTAATTTTCATGCTAACAGTATGAGTGATTTCTTTTACCTTGACGTTTCTTTGTTAGTATTTTTTTATTTCCGCTGTACAGTCATGGGGTCTGCATGGTTAACCTCTTCTTTCCACACTTCCTCTCTGATACAAGGATCTTTACTCAAGTTTCTTTATTAATTTTGTTTGTTTGAAGTCAATTTTTGTGTAGTTCCAGTGTTATCATTTCAATAGTTACTGATTATTATCATTATTCTCTTGTGTCATCCAACTCTTAATCGGAATGGTTTCATGCAACATTATGAAATTCTTTTATTCTGCGTCTGGTTTCATGTCAGTCCTCTACATGTTATTCTTATAATTGATTTTGTTTTTTTTACATGTTTTTAGAAACTTTGACAACAAAACCGACGTTCAAGTTGATGACATCTGTTTCAAGAACTACATAAATTCAGCTATTCGTGATCTTCATGGAGATGCAAGTTTCCCCTATTTTTTATCTGCTTTTCATGCTTTTTCATGTAGCTCAACTTCGTTTTAATTAGTTTTTCTCTGTGTGTATTCTTTTTTTGTGCAGTTTGGATTAGGTGTGAATGTGGACCTCTTGAAATACGAGGAAGACAAAAGACGAGGTATCATTCGCTGTCCAGCTAGAGACTACGTCAAGATCAGAGGTGCTTTGACCTTCTGTGGAAAACTTGACGGAAAATTTTGCCGATTTTTGGTGCATCAATCATCGGGTCTCCTTCTCTCCCTGCAGGCAAATAGTCGGACCTTCATTCACTGCTGGTGAGGATTGCATGCTCCATACGCTAACCACAATGCCCAAGTCCCTCCCAAGTAACAAAGAAGACAAACATACAGTGATATTTGTCTCAAAAGCCGAGCATCTGCTGCCAAGTTCTATCTCTTTGAACAATTCTGGGACCCCACAGGGCTTAATTTTGTCCAGTGGAGAAATCAACTGGATGTGCCCATGTTTGGATGGAATGGCAACAGGACCATGTGGGGTTGAATTTCGAGAGGCATTTTCCTGTTTCCATAACAGCAAAGCCGAACCTCAAGGAAAAGATTGCTTGGATGCATTTCGCTCGATGCAGGAATGTATGCAGAAGTACCCCCAGACTTATCGCAAAGAAGAAATGCTTAAACAGTCTCCCACCTAGAAAATCATAAAGAAACTTTTTTCACATCATTTTATTTAACAATAGAAACACATAAAAATTCCTTTTTAAAATAATGTTAACAGTCAGTGGACAATTACAATAATGGTTCATCCCAAATTTGTGATGAATACACACATAATATGCTTCAAAGTTACAGTATAAATCTTAATTTCTGTAAGAAAATATTTGAAATACAGTACATTTTCCACATTGAATGACCTCACATTTTGATGTATCAAAAATTTGATTGAATCTTTTAACTGGTTGTTGGTGTCCCTCCTTCAATTAATGCATACTGTTCTTTGCTCTGCAAGAGCGTTAGAACTTAACAGTTTTGTTTTACATGTTTCAGATTAGTCCTGCAACAATCAGCCATGTCTCTTTGTATGAAGGAAGGCAAAGATATCATTATCTTTGCAACGAAGGAGGATCATGACATTCCCAGCAAAGTCCAGCTACCTGAACTTGAACCCCAGCCGGGTTTAATCTTCCCGAATGGGGACATCAACTGGAACTGCCCCTGTTTAGGGGGCATGGCCACAGGACCTTGTGGCGTCGAGTTCCGAGAAGCCTTCTCCTGTTTCCATTACAGTGAGGCGGATCCGAAGGGAAGTGACTGCATGGAGCTATTCAAAGAAATGCACAGTTGTATGCAGGAGTACCCTGCACTCTATGACAATAAGGATGGAAAGGACGATGATGACGAAGGCATGGGTATGGGTATGAATGTGGAAGACGCCAACCAGTCTTCAACAGACCAGCAGCCTGCGAAACCTGCAAAAGAAGTAGCTGTTTCTAGTACAAATGAAAAGAATTGAATGTATCAGTATGATTTTTTCTTGTTCAGATATTAGTTGTACAGTTATAGAAAAAGGAAAGAACTATTAGCACACTGTGTACTAGAACTTGATGCTCAACTTCTGTGAAAAGGAATTTAGTATTATCTCCCCACTTAGAGGAATGAATCACGGGCTCTTGTGTTGCTCGGGTTCACTTTTTTTTTTTTTTTTTAATGTATGTTGGCTGCTGACATGATTGTTCCAAGTAGCAGTTGGCTTCATTTGTCTGCTTTAATTTCTGGATGAGTGCCAATAGTCCGATGAGGTACAGTGCGTGTTTGGTATGCTTTGTGAAACTGATGTTTTTACATGACTTTATTTTGAATTGTTACTGTTGTTACTGTTAGGAAAAAAGAATATACCACCAGTGATTATCAACTTTTATTTTCCTTTTAAACCATTTTATAAACTGTACACGAGGTTGTCAGAAAATGTCGTTGATGTCATGAAAGATGTTAAACTACCGCTAAACTGAAGGAGGGGAAGAAAAATATAACTTCTCATCCTTTTTAGAGATTGACATGTTACATTGGAGAGGCTCCGTTTGACTGAAGGCATGGAAAATACTACTTTATCATGGACCATGACTTTATGCTCTAGTGCTCTAAAGGTGGCCTTTTAATGCTTGTCCACCCAAGTCCAATGTCCCAATATTGGCATTACTCTTGAGAATAATTAGCTGGTGATGGTATAAAAGGCGTAAAGAATGGTTAGTCTTCAACGACACATTCATGTTACATTTGTACATTTGGTTAAAATAGTGCCAATAATCGGAGGGCGGATAGGGCCGGACACTCATGGAGAGGCATGACAGGAGGGAATGTTCGAGACTCATGAAGGAGATTCAAAAAGCCCCGCTCTTCCCTCAGGGCCACCACGACACTGCTAGCTTTCGGCTCTCCCTGCTGGTTGGCCCTTCCCTCTTGCGGTGGCGTTGCCGAAGGTGCCGCTGGCATCGCCGCGGTCCTTGGCGCCCTTCACTCTCCACCCCCGCGGCCCTGCGCGTCAAGCGGGAAGGCCGAATCGATCGTTCCCTTTTTCCAGAAGAAGGATCCTGGCCGCGCAGGCGACCGGGCAGGCAGCCATCGCGCTTCCCCCACTCCGCGTCGGCGTGCGTAGGCCGTGCTGTACGGCAGTGACGGGAGTGAGTGGCGTCGGCTCAACGAACAAAACAAATAAACAAACAGACGGGCGAAAGTGTCGTGGCAGACGGACGCGACGCGACTCTGCTCCGGGCGGCGCACAGCACAGTGTGTCTCCACGTCGGCCGCGTACCTCGCCGTGCCGATTCAGCGAATTTTTGTCGGTGTTTTCTGCAAAGCCAAGTCCGTGTCGCGCTGAATGAGCCATGGACGGGGCGCTCGGCGGCCCGTTCGGCTTCACCGCCGTCAGCGGCAACGGCAAGGGCCCCGCGACGAAGGACCTGGACAGTCACCAGGACCACCAGGACGCCGACAAGCCTAACGGCACCGAGGAGTCCAATGGTAAGCCGAGCCGCCAGACCTAATGACCCATTTCCATATCGCCCATCTCTGCCTGTCATTCCGTTTCGCGTTTCGCCGGTGTGGCGCCAGGGGCGGAGGGAGGGTCCCCTCCCCAGGGGGCGGGCGGGGGAGGGCGGTTCGGCCCGAGAAATGCTGTCAAAATCAGCTGTTTTTGAAGCGGGGCGGAGCCGAACTTGGCCGATCGGGCTCGGGTGACTCAGGCTTGATCGCCTCGGCGACGCTAGGGGCGACGCGGCGCCGCGCTGCGGGCTTTGGTTTCCAGACTCTGTCTTGGTGAAGCAATCGATCTCCGACCACAGCGTAGCGCCAAGGCGGCAAGCCGCGGCAAGCGGTCGCGTCGACTGGCGTTGACGCGTCAGCCAGTTCCCTGTGATCCTTGATCCTCCTGCTTCCTAGAATGAGTTCCTTTGTCACGGCGCGGCTGCCATTCAAGCCCCCTGTCTATAAATACATTTGCTCAGTGGAACTAACCAGTGCATTGCCTTAAAACAGATTTTAAAAATTATCGTAGTTTATACTGACAATTGATTTATCAAACTCATATCGACACTTCCTCTTAGACATTTCTTTCTGAACTACGCTGAATTACGTTTAATGGTTTCATGAACAAAATTTTGTATTGTTACTTTTGTCAATCGTCGCTTGGGTGAATTCTGAACGATAGTGAAATTCGTAGAAAGTTAACTCTCTCTTTTCGGAACTGAAGTTTCAATGGTCGAACCCTTTCAAATGAAACAGAATGTTGCTGTCGGGGACACACATGTCATTTTAACCGATGCAAATTTGCTTTGTGTTTCTTAGCCTTTTAGCTGCATTTCGGGATACTTTTTTTTTACATGTGCATGGTGTATCTGCTTTAATTCTTAGTTCTTGCCTTTATGTGTTTGCACCAATCTCTTACAAGCCCATATCAACTTTCCAGGCCTATCAACAACTTGCCTACATTTCTACAGTGCATGCAGCTGTCAGAATAAGACCTCATCGAGTAAGTCAAAATTATTTCATTTCCTAATATAACAATTCCTATGTAAGTTTAAAGTACTCATTCATTAATATCTACGATAAGATCTAATTTAAGCAAGTGTATCTCGAAACCCGTTTTGAAATGATGTTGACGTTGACATTACCGACTCTTATCAGACAGTTGAAAAAAATCTTGCCTCATACTCGCCAGCATTCCCCCTTCCCCCTCCACTCTTCCTCCCTCCACCTCCCCTCTCACTCATACTCTTGTGCTGTGTGGAACCGATGTAGACTAGATTCTGCATTCTTCTTATCTGTGCATATAGTCATGCAAAAATTATTGCGTACGGTGGCATCAGCTGCTTCAACTGGTTGCATTTTTTTTTTTTTTTAATTTTTATGACTGCTGCCAAAGCAAAGTCTCAATCAAACCTCCCATAAAAAAGGTTTCTGACGAATACAGCTGTCACTGTTGATTGCTTTCTTGCTTGCGGATGACTTGACTCAATTAAATTTTGGCCGCTCTGTTTGTCTTCAGACTGATTCCTAGAGTCGTTGTCGTCGCTCTGCCTCTCTCGCACTCATGTGCGTCCCGCGTATGTGCGAGAGAGACAGAGCGACGACAACGACTCTCCACAGAATCAGTTTACTGGGGCCGCGGCTTGTGCCTTGCCCTGCGCGGGACAACTTTAATCAAGAAACAGACAGTCGCCGGCAGGCTGGCTCGTGCAGGCGTGAATCCAGGGGGAAGGGGGGGGGGGGGAGTGTAATGGGAGTGATTACCCCCTCCCTGCACTGTGGAACCCAGTGTGGGGAAGTCCACACTTGAAATGCGGAGGTGTGGAATTCGAAGTCTTCGCGTTTGGAAGTGCGGAGTTTGCAGTTTCCACACTTCAAGTGTGGACTGTGGAGTTCTCCACGTTCGCACCATGCTAAGAGATAGGGGTTCTGTCGGGTTCTGTGAGCTACTCCGCACTTGGCTTGAAAGTGAGCGTACACCCTAAATGTTTTTGTACAAATTTTGTACGAGACATCACAGTTTTTTGTGCACACGAACTTTTCGTACAAATTTGTGCAAAATTTTGTACAATTTTGTACAAACATGACGAAAAATGTGCAATTTTTCGTCCGAAAATCGTACGAAAATTTCGTGTGCAAAAAAAACTGTGATGTCTCGTACAAAATTGTACATAACATTCAGTGTGTACAACGGAGGCCGCCTGGAAGGTAGGCCAACAGCACTATCTCGCCCCTGCAGGCAAAAAATGCAAAATTATTTCTCCTTAAAAATACTACTGGATCCAAGGGCGGATCCAGGGACGGGTTCAGGGGGGGGGGGGGGGGGCGATGTCGCGAAAGTTGCCTACCTACAGGGGTAATGTGCGACTTTTTGCCTACCTTTCAGGCGGCTTCGCCGCCTTCAGGGAGGCGACGCCCCCGCTGGATCCGCGCCTGACTGGATCCGCGCCTGGCTCGAGCCGTGCGCTGTGCAAGTGCAGTGCCGTGCCCTAAAGTGGTGTCGCGTGTCGCAGTTCCAATCATAAAATCAGCGCCAACGAAGTAAATGTCCTGCCTGGCTGGCTGGCCTGCGCTTGCCTGCCGCCTGATTCCGAGAGTCGCTTTATCGTCGCCCTGTCTCTCTCGCACTCATGCGGCGTCCCCGGTCGGTGCGAGAGAGGCAGAGCGACGAAAGCGGCTCTCAGTCTGCTGGGCCGGCCCGACGACGAGTGCACCAAGTGTCGAGTGCGTGAAAGGAAGGCTTAAGCCGATTAAAAATAATGCAACTAAAGTGGGCGAGAAATGGCGTCGTCTTTCAAGGGCGGAACTCTGCAGTCCTGCGGCGTACACACCTCCGCCTCCCCCTCCCCTCCCCGCCCGCTGCGGCGCGGAAGGAGGTGTTTGGCTTGGCGGCGAGGGGCGCAGCGGGCAAGCGGGCACACGGAGGCCCCCTCCAATAACGGACGTAATTATTTGTCGCCTCAATTTTGCCCCTGTGCAATGTCGGTCGAACCAAGCGTGCAGAACAACACACTTCCTGGTGCGGAGTCCCTCTCCTCACTTGGACGTGTGGAGTGTGCAGTTTCCACACTTCAAGTGAGGAGTAAGCTCACAGAGCCCCAATCTCTGGATTTCTAGTGCGGTTTTACAGTGGACCTGCTGGCGGCCTGGCGGCTGGCGAAGGACACGCGTTGCTCGGATCGGCCTCGAGTCCCTCCAGCCAGGGGTTAGTCTTGTCCTGCAGGCCGATTCCGAGAGTCGTTTTCGTCGCTCTGTCTCTCCCTCTCGCACTCACGGGGCGCGCCGTTCGGGTGCGAGAGGGACAGAGCGACGAAAACCGACGAAAACGACTCTCGGAATCAGTCTGCTGGCGGCGTGCGGCCGCGGCTCAGGGTGCGCGATGGAGCCCCGCGACGGGCAGCACGGCGACGACGACACTGTCGCGACATTGAGCCCTCGGTGCGCTACGTAGACTACACGGCATGAAGCCGCAGTGCGGCGGGGCGGGCCGGGGCGCTGCGCGTGCCGGGGACGGCGCGGTCCTGCACCGCAACACGCCGCTCCACCAGAAATTGATCGCTCTTTCCTTTTGGGGGCCGCGGGGCCCTACGGGGCCCGTGAGGCCCGTCTAGGGTTGGGGGTGGGGCCCGGTGGGGCCCGGTGGGGCCTCCAAGGGCCGCGTGCCTGCCGTGCCTGCCGCCTCGCAACTTGGAACGCAACCAGCACACTGATTCCGAGAGTCGTTTTCGTCGCTCTGTCTCGCTCGCACCTCTGCGGCACGCCCCATGAGTGCGAGGGATAGGCAGAGCGACGAAAAGGACTCTCGGAATCAGTCTGCAGGTGACCCGGGCGTGGCGTGACGTGGTGGCGCGACGTAGCGGCGCGACGTAGCGGCGTGGCGTGGCGTGGCGGGGCGTGGCGTGGCGTGGCGGGGCGTAGCGTGGCGTAGCGTGGCGTGGCGGGGCGTAGCGTGGCGGGGCGGGGCGTGGCGTAGCGTGGCGTGGCATGGCGTAGCGTGGCGTGGCGTGGCGGGGCGTGGCGTAGCGTGGCGTGGCGTAGCGTGGCGTAGCGTGGCGTGGCGTGGCGTGGCGTGGCGTGGCGGCGCGCGCCGGAACTGCGTGGACTTCCCTGGCTTCCCTGCGGGCCTGGCTGCCTGGCTATGGCAGCGCTGGCAGCCTGCCGAGTGATGCCGAAGGACCGTTTCGGATGCTCTGTCTCTGTCGCACCCAAATGGCGTCCCCTAGGGGTGCGAGAGAGACAGAGCGACGAACGGTTCGTCCGAACCGCTGGGCTGCATACTGCACTGCGAGGGGCGGGTTACTCGGAGTTTTGGTGTGGGCGTGTGAGTAGAGTTCACGTGGAGACACCGTTAAAATTTGACATGTGTGCTGTCCTGCCGCTCGATTCTGGGGACTCGCTTCGTCGCCTGAATGGCTCAGCTGCACAGTGGGCCAGAGGGCCGGTGGAGGCGGCCAAAACTTCAAAGACGCGTTTTGACCCACAGCCACTAAGCAGAACTCGAACCGACCGTGTGACCCCACCAGGCTTGCTCTCCGAACGAGGAATCCATCGGTGGGGTCACACGTTTGGTTCTAGTCGCACTGAGCGACTCTGGAGCTCAAACCGCGTCTAGAGTTTAGGTCACCGGCGCCGGCCTTCTGGCCCACTGTGGGCTATGTCCGCGGTCGCCACACTGTGAGGCCGAAGTGGCCCATTAAAAGCAATTTGGAGGCCGGACAGGAAAACGGAAAACTTTGCCGCGCCCCGCCTTTGTCTTTGTCGGGAGACACATTCCGAGAGTCATTTTGTCGCCCTGTCTCTCTTGCACTCAAGGGGCGTTCCCTATGGGTGCGAGAGAGACAGAGCGACGAACACGACCCTCGGAATCGGTCTGCCGTTGGGCTGGGCCGAGGCCCGCCGCGTGGGCACCGTCACCGTGGGCACCGCACAGTGGGCCAGAAGCCGGTGGAGGCGGCCAAAACTCTAGACGCGCTTTGAGCTCCAGAGTCGCTTATATCAGGACTCGAACCGAACGTGTGACCCCACCAATGGATTGCTCTCCGAACGAGGAGTCCATTGGTGGAGTCACACGTTCGCTTCGAGTCCCATTTAGCGACTCTGGGGCTCAAAACGCGCCTAGAGTTTTGGCCGCCTCCGCCGGTCTTCTGGTCCACTGTGCACCGCCACCGCGGGCTGCCTCTGATCAGCGCTTCGCTTCGGTCTCTCTGTCTCTCTCGCACTCGCGGGGCGTGCCGCGAAGGTGCGAGAGAGAGAGAGAGAGAGACAGCGACGAGGCACTGCTGTTGCTGTTCGGCGTGCTGCAGGCTGCGGGGCGTGTCGTCCGCGCGGTGTATCGCCTGTCGCTGACACGTCGACAGCTGCGGAGGAAGATTGAGAGAGGGCGGGGGGACGCGCGGGACGACGGCACACACACACACACACACACACACACACACACTCACTCACACACCTACACACACACACACACACACCGACACACACACTGACACTCACACAGGTACACACACACACAGACACATACACAAAGACTGACTTACACATAGGCACAGACACAGGGGCTACAGTATACACACACGGGCACGTACTGCACACACACACACACACACACACACCCAAGGGACCGCCTGTCGCCCCGGTCGATGTGACGTCCAGGGCGTCGTCGCCGAGGGCGTGCCTTGGTGGCTTGGGCGTGCCGGGTGCCGCCCGTCCAGGCACATCCTGCCCCGATCCAGGACGGCGATACGGCCGGCAGGTACACCCCACAATGCCGCGTGCAGTGTACACGAGTGTACAGCGGCGGCACGGCGCCCAGTGGGCCAGAAGACCGGTGGAGGCGGACAAAACTCACGACGCGTTTTGAGCTCCAGAGCCGCTGAACAGGCCTCGAACCGAACGTGTGACCCCATCAATGGATTCCTCGTTCGGAGAGCAATCCATTTGGTGGGGTCACACGTTCGGCTCGAGTCCCATTTAGCGACTCTGGGGCTCAAAACGCGTCTGGAG